TGTGATCTAACAAACACAAATATTTAAATTGTATATTGTGCTCTAATAAACACAAATATTTAAATTATATATTGTGATCTAAGAAACACAAATATTTAAATTATATATTGTGCTCTAAGAAACACAAATATTCAAATTGTATATTGTGCTCTAATAAACACAAATATCTAAATTATATATTGTGATCTAACAAACACAAATATTTAAATTGTATATTGTGCTCTAATAAACACAAATATTTAAATTATATATTGTGATCTAACAAACACAAATATTTAAATTATATATTGTGCTCTAATAAACACAAATATTTTACTCGTATATTGTGTTCTAAGAAACACAAATATTTAAATTATATATTGTGCTCTAACACAAATATTTAAATTATATATTGTGCTCTAAGAAACACAAATATTCAAATTATATATTGTGCTCTAACAAACACAAATATTTAAATTATATATTGTGATCTAACACAAATATTTAAATTATATATTGTGCTCTAATAAACACAAATATTTTACTCGTATATTGTGCTCTAAGAAACACAAATATTTAAATTATATATTGTGCTCTAAGGAATTTAAATATTTGTGTTTGTTAGAGCACAATATGTAATTTAAATATTTGTGTTTGTTAGAGCACAATATGTAATTTAAATATTTGTGTTTGTTAGAGCACAATATGTAATTTAAATATTTGTGTTTATATATTGTGCTCTAAGAAACACAAATATTTAAATTATATATTGTGCTCTAAGAAACACAAATATTTAACTCGTATATTGTGCTCTAAGAAACACAAATATTTAAATTATATATTGTGCTCTAAGAAACACAAATATTTAAATCATATATTGTGCTCTAATAAACACAAATATTTTACTCGTATATTGTGCTCTAAGAAACACAAATATTTAAATCATATATTGTGCTCTAATAAACACAAATATTTTACTCGTATATTGTGCTCTAATAAACACAAATATTTAACTCGTATATTGTGCTCTAATAAACACAAATATTTAAATTATATATTGTGCTCTAAGAAACACAAATATTTAAATCATATATTGTGCTCTAAGAAACACAAATATTTAAATTATATATTGTGCTCTAAGAAACACAAATATTTAACTCGTATATTGTGCTCTAAGAAACACAAATATTTAAATCATATATTGTGCTCTAATAAACACAAATATTTAAATTATATATTGTGCTCTAAGAAACACAAATATTTAAATTATATATTGTGCTCTAAGAAACACAAATATTTAAATCATATTGTGCTCTAACACAAATATTTAAATTATATATTGTGATCTCGAAAAGGACGAACTATTTCACTTTTTCTAATGAATATTTTTTGTTCATTACAGACCTTAAAAAACTAGGTTAACGATATTGTATGTTGTGTTGAACCTATGTGTTTTTGTAACATTTGATCTTGTAGTGTTCATTTCTATCAAGACTTCTTGAACCTATGTGTTTTTGTAACATTTGATCCTGTAGTGTTCATTTCTATCAAGACTTCTTGAACCTATGTTTTTGTAACATCGTGAATGATGCTGTATTATATACTTACTAATAACCGAAGTTGTATGTTGTGTAGTTACTGATAACCGAGATCTTGTATGTTGTGTAGTTACTGATAACCGAGATCTTGTATGTTGTATAGTTACTGATAACCGAGATCTTGTATGTTGTATAGTTACTGATAACCGAGATCTTGTATGTTGTATAGTTACTGACAACCAAGATCTTGTTTGTTGTGTAGTTACTGATAACCGAGATCTTGTATATTGTGTAGTTACTGATAACCGAGATGTTGTATGTTGTATAGTTACTGATAACCGAGATCTTGTATATTGTATAGTTACTGATAACCGAGATGTTGTATGTTGTGTAGTTACCGATAACCGATATGTTGTATGTTGTGTAGTTACCGATAACCGAGATGTTGTATGTTGTATAGTTACTGATAACCCAGATTTTGTATGTTGTATAGTTACTGATAACCGATATATTGTATATTGTATAGTTACTGATAACCGAGATGTTGTATGTTGTGCAGTTACCGATAACCGAGATCTTGTATGTTGTGTAGTTACCGATAACCAAGATGTTGTATGTTGTATAGTTACTGATAACCGAGATGTTGTATGTTGTATAGTTACTGATAACCCAGATCTTGTATGTTGTGTAGCTACTAACAACCAAGAGATTGTTTGTTGTGTAGTTACTGACAACCAAGATCTTGTATGTTGTATAGTTACTGATAACCGATATGTTGTATGTTGTGTAGTTACCGATAACCGAGATGTTGTATGTTGTATAGTTATTGATAACCGCTCACGCCAGGTACAATAATCATATTTCAATCATCTTAATTCAATAACAAGGTTCTATCACACATAACAAACAATAGGTTTTGAATCGTTTATTAAAATCGTAACTAGATAATTCTAAAATAAGAGATTGTTATGAAACTTGTTTTAATTTTGTTGTTTCTTTCTTCGGATAAAATTAATTGTGAGAACAACCTCTCTCATCAGCACCTACGTACTAAGCGAGTTAAATAAATGATATCAGTTATGTGAATCTTCTACAAAAGTTTTTAGGCGTAACTTTTCGGCAGTTTAAACGTTTCTCTCTATCATTAAATGACTTGTACTATATTTCCAAGCGAATGTTAGATGTTAATATGTAGTGTTCATTCTAGTTTGTGATAGCGGCGCTCTCGTTAGCACTGGGCTGGGAGATTCGGAACGATTTACTTCGTGGTTATCCTTGTATTCGGCGACTGAATCAGCTATACTGTCCCACGCCAGGAAACAGATACCCCAAGTAGGTGGAACTTACTCTACGTTCTCACAATAATAGCTTTAACTAGTACTGTAGAAACAGGTCTTTCCTCAGCATCTGCCACTATGTACCATTTCTAACGTGCCTCTTAATGAGGGTTGTGAAGCAAACAGCTCAATTCGCTTGCTTCTCTGGGTGATAATAGTGTGGTTAACTGCTTAACTCATTCATTTTCCTGAATTGTAGCAATGGAGTAAACTGGTTAGTTCACTCATTTCCCTGAACGATAACAACGGGTAAACTGGTTAGTTCACTCATTTCTCTGAACGATAACAATGAAGTAAACTGATTAGTTCACTCATCTCCCTGAACGATAACAATGAAGTAAACTGGTTAGTTCACTCATTTCCCTAAACGATAACAATGGGTAAACTGATTAGTTCACTCATCTCCCTGAACGATAACATTGGGTAAACTGATTAGTTCACTCATCTCCCTGAACGATAACAATGAAGTAAAGTGGTTAGTTCACTCATTTCTCTGAACGATAACAATGAAGTAAACTGATTAGTTCACTCATCTCCCTGAACGATAACAATGAATTAAACTGGTTAGTTCACTCATCTCCCTGAACAATAACAATGAAGTAAACCTGTTAGTTCACTCATCTCCCCGAACGATAACAATGGGTAAACTGGTTAGTTCACTAATCTCCCTGAACGATAACATTGGGTAAACTGGTTAGTTCACTCATCTCCCTGAACGATAACAATGAAGTAAACTGATTAGTTCACTCATCTCCCTGAACGATAACAATGGATAAACTGATTAGTTCACTAATCTCCCTGAACGATAACAATGGGTAAACTGATTAGTTCACTAATCTCCCTGAACGATAACAATGGGTAAACTGATTAGTTCACTCATTTCCCTGAACGATAAAAATGAAGTAAACTGGTTAGTTCACTCATCTCCCTGAACGATAACAATGAATTAAACTGGTTAGTTCACTCATCTCCCTGAACGATAATAATGGGTAAACTGGTTAGTTCACTCATCTTCCTGAACAATAACAATGAAGTAAACCTGTTAGTTCACTCATCTCCCCGAACGATAACAATGGGTAAACTGGTTAGTTCACTCATCTTCCTGAACGATAACATTGGGTAAACTGGTTAGTTCACTCATCTCCCTGAACGATAACAATGGATAAACTGGTTAGTTCACTAATCTTCCTGAACGATAATAATGGGTAAACTGGTTACTTCACTCATCTCCCTGAACGATAACAATGAAGTAAACTGGTTAGTTCACTCATTTCGCTGAACGATAACAATGAAGTAAACTGGTTAGTTCACTCATTTCGCTG